AACAAAATAACTAAAATCATTATTCTTGGTTTTAATATGACATTTCGTCCAAATTTGAATTAAAAAAGTCAGTAAAAAATAACTGTTTCTTATAACTATATTCTTCAACTATATTTTATAGATTTTTTGGTTACAGATATGAACAATTATGAGAATCTTTGTTTTACATTTTCAATCCATAGTTATAAAAAATTCAAAACTGTACATTTTATAATTTTTTAAAAATACAATGATTGATAATTTTCGAGATTTTGATAAATTCTGATAAATTTGAACTTTAAATACTTATAAAAAAAAATTGTGCCTATGTTTGTATTTTTAATATTTTTAAACTGCTATTGTAACAATATATCAGGAGTCTTATATTAAATTTTCACACTGTTTAGCCCACAAAATAAAATTTTATTGATATTTATAAAAAAAAAATTTGCTAATTTTCGTGATTTTTCCATATTTTGTCAATTTTTGAACTTTAAATGCTTATAAAAAAAAATTATGACTTTTTTTCATATGCTTTAAAACAATATACTAGGAGCCTTCTATTAAATTTTCAACCTTTTTTAACCAACAAATAAAATTATATTCGTTACAAACCGGTTATCGGTTTTAAGCCCTGGTTATAAATATATTTTATTATACTAAATATTTTAGATTTTGAGTGAAACGATGAATGTATTGATTTTACAATGATGTGTGTTTTTATATTTTTATATTTTTTTTTTTATATTTTTGTGTCTGTCATCACGTTTTAGGAAAGTAAAAGTGCTTGGATTTTCTTCATCAGTAGCTTTTCTGATAGGAAAGTGAATCTAGTTGGTACTTTGGGGGGTCAAAAGTATAAATTTCTCAATAGTTTTCACAAGCGTCGGGAAAAACAACATAAAAATTAAGGAAAAACGGGAATTATTGACAAAATCGAATTTGGTTTTTGGTGTAACTTTAAAACAAATGACCGTAGATACATGAAATTTTTACTGGTTGTTTATATTTGCATTTTCTATACACGATAAAATTTTCAAAATATTTTGATTTATTTTGAACTGTTTAGGGACATTTTCATTTTTCATTTTTTTTTAGTTTTTTTCTAGAAATATCAATAAAATTTTATTTGTTGGTTGAAAAAAGTTGAAAATTTAATAGAAGACTCCTAGTATATTGTTTCAAAGGCAGATGAAAAATATTAAAAATCGTTAGTCACAGTTTTTTTTATAAGCATTTAAAGTTCAAAAATTGACAAAATATGGAAAAATCACGAAAATTAGCAAATTATTTTGAGTTAAGAATTCGCAAAAATTTTTCTTTTTAAATCTAAGATTTGAAAATGTAATACAAGATTACTCATAAGTTTGTCTACCTTTATCAATAAAAAAATCTCTACCGGACAGTCAAATTAAATTTTTATGAGCGTTTGAAATTCAAATTTTTACAACATTGGATGTTCACTCGATTTCTCATGTAGCGATTTCCTTATTTTGTTGTTATTCATAAACGAATAACTATAGATACATGAAAATTTCACTAAATGTTTATATTAGCATTTCCTATACACCATACAATTTTGAAAATATTTTGACTCTTTTTGAGTTATTTACGGATATTTTCATTTTTTAATTTTTTAGTTTTTTTTCTATGAATATCAATAAAGTTTTATCTGTTGGGCAAAAAAGTGTAAAAATTTAATACAAGGCTCCTGATATATTGTTACAATATTAGTTGAAAAATATTAAAAATACATAGGCACAGTTTTTTTTTATAAGCATTTAAACATCGAATTTTGACAGAATTTTTCAAAATCTCGAAAATTATTAATCATCGTAATTAATAAATTATAAAATGTTCAGTTTTTATAGCTAAGGATTGAAAATTTAAAACAAGATTCCACGTAAGTAGTTAATTCTCTTACCGAAAAATCTAAAAAATATACAATCACAGTTTATTTTTATAGTTATTTTATGTTCAAATTTGGACGAAATTACATATTAAAAAACCTAGTTATTTTGTTGTGATTATATAATATTATTCGTGGGTACCTACTTGAAACTTCTAAAGTTTACTATTATATATCAATGATAGTATCAGGATTTGTTATTGATGTTGATGTATAACGTGTTATAAGTACCTAATGGATATTGTGATAATGTGATATGATTAATTTGGAATTTATTATAGGTCAATTTTTTTTTTAATACCATAGTAATGTATATAATTTGTCTTTAACCTAGACTGACATACCGTCTTCGCTCAGAATCGTTTTTCTTATACAATGATATTGTATCATTGAATTCAAATTTAATACCATCCATTATACAGTGACCCACTTGTAATCTACGGTACAGCAGAGCGACATCCACTTACCCACCTTTTTTTTATTACATTATATACATACGATATTATCGATTTTTGTGAAGCCAATGCCGCCTGGAAGAACTCCGAGTTTTGCACCTTGATGTCCCCTCGAGGATATTATTATATTTTATACACATTACACACAAAGACATTTTCAAATTTAATTTTTTTGGCAAAAATGACTATAACCTACCTTTGTACTAATGCTTAATAGTAAAACAAATTACTCTAATCACAATAATATCATCAAATATACTTAGTAATATTTCAAAAACGAAACGGACCGTTTTCGTTTAGAACCGCTTTTTGTGTACAATGATTTTATATCATTATTCATTGGTGTAACACCGTCCATTACAGTGAGTGACCCACTTGTTAGTTGTAACAATGTAACCTACTGTATAGTAGAGGGGTTTCTACTTTACTGTATTTTTACATTTTAGTTCAAAATCTAATTTATAAAAATTTTGGAAAGTTCATTGTTATTACTTATTTGTGTAATTGTGTGTAGAAAAAGATTATAGTAATGGCGGGTAGTTTGTTTTAATTTTTCATGGAGTATATAATATCATATTAGTTATCTTTCCATGGTGAGTATGCCTTCCATGTCGTATCAAACCAAAACAAAAATTGACAAAAAAATTGTTGATCCAAAATTCCACTTGTTTTTTGTTTGTTGAATGTTAATTGTTTTAATTTTTAAATTTTTGAGTGTTCCACATATTTGATTTTAGTTATAATTATTTGCTTTACTTGTTAACTTTGTTAACTATTAGTTTTATTAAATGTTCTCCTTATGTTGATGTTAGTAACACCAAAATGTGCTGACTAAATATAAAATAAATGATAAAATTATGTAAAATATCCACATTTTATAATATTTATATACTTTAAAATTGTTATTTTACAATTTGATTGATAATTGGTTAATCCAAATATTATGTAAACTGTTATACTATATTATTTTATATTATAGTAAATTCTTATCATGGAGTTAGTGAAGAAACATTTTTAAGTTGACCTAGGTAAGTTAAATTAAACATTAAGAATTAATAGTTATTAGTTATGATATCTAATTCAACATAAATGTTGTTATGATTTGTTGTAGGTTTATTATAAGAAAGTTTCAATGAACTACATCAAAATAAATTCCTGACAAATACCATATACATAAAGGTAAATATAATAAGTTCTGTAATAAGTTTCGTTTTTATATTTAAATCTTATCACTTGTCTTATGTTTAATGTAATACACCTAACAACATAGGCATTTCTACGGTGGCTCTGCCCCGGTAATTTTTAAAAGGCATTGGTCAACCGAGTTTTGAGTCAGATGGGTTCCAACTTTTATTAAAAATAAAAAAAAATTGTCTTAGCATTGTTGTAATTAATACTATTTACTATGTTCGATATAATTAGGTAGTATCTTTATTTGTTAATAACATGTATTGTACTATTGTCAAATTGGTTATATGTCAAACTTCAGAAAAGCCTATTCTATAAAGAATTAAGACAGTCAACCGTTCAGTTCACATCTATCAATTGATAATATTATTGTTATGTTATCTTAGATTCTGAGCGGAGCGATGAATGTATTAATTTTCAATGATGTGTGTTTTTTAAAATTTTTTTTTTTTTGCGTGTCCACACGATAATAGTAGTAATGCTTCGATTTTCAACTTCAGTATCTTGTTCAATGGGAAAGTGAATCTAGTTGGTGCATAGGTCAAAATTTAAAAATCACGATAGTTTTCAATAGTGCTGGGAAAAAACAAAAAAAATTAAGGAAAACCCATATTTTTTAAACAAAATCGGTTTTTGACAAAGTTGATTTTGGTTTTTGATACAACTTTAAAACAAATTACCGTAGATATATGACATTTTCACTGAATATTTGTACTAGCATTTTGCTATTTTCTATACATTATAAAATATTTCGACTTGTTTTGAACTGTTTACATTTTCAGTTTTCAATATTTTTAGGTTTTTTTTTATAGATGTGCAATTTTATTAGTTGGGTTACAAACTTGAAAATTTATCACAAGACTTAAATTTAATATTACAATGGCAGTTGAAAAATATAAAAAATACAATCAACATTTTTTTTTTATAAGCATTTAAAGTAAGGGTTCTTACAAAACATATCTAATTTAAAAATTAATAATGATTTTGCCGTTAGAAATGTATAAAATGTTCAACTTATACAGTTAAGGATTGAAAATGTATAACAAGGTTCCATGGAAATAGGAATTTAAATTACTTTAATCACAATAATATCATCAAATTTACTTAGTAATATATCATACGCCGACTGATCATCTTCGCACAGAATTGTTTTGTTTATACTATGATATTTTATCATTGAATTCAAATTTAACACCATCCATTACAGTGACCCACTTGTAACCTAGTATTTTGTATAACCTTGTAAATTAGTTACTTATAGTCTAAATATGTTCATATCAATGGCTATTTCAAAATGTATATTACTATACAGTTTGTAATCCATTTAAAATGTATTGAATAGGATTTTATATTCAAACCATTTATGATGACCATCGCATCAAATTATTTTTATTAATTTAGGCAGTTTAAATAATAATATATTTAACCCAAACATATCTTTTATGTTTTTATTTATAGATAGTAGCTGTATGAGTGGCACCAAGGACGAGGGAGTTACAACCATTATGTATGATCCGGGCATTCGGCAAGAACAAAACCCAGTTACGGGTCAGCTATATGCCACTATTGTCAAAAAAGATGATAAAGCATCTTCTGTTGACTTTCCATTTTACAACGTAAACATGGTACAAAAAGTTCCCGTGTCTGGTAATATTGCTGTTCTTGCTGCAGCTTCAGCAAATGGAGTAACTCAAACTGATAAGACTTCTTACCGTTTTGATGTAACAGCGCCTTTCAATTATAACTATGCATTAGTAAATCAAATGTCTCTCACAACAGCTGGTGCAGCTTTTAAATGTGATGTTTGTGGTGCTGGATTTACACACGCATCAATGCTAGACCATCATAAAAAATCTGCTCATCCACAAGAACCACCATCATTTACTTGTTCGACATGTGGTTCTTGTTTTCCTCAAGTAAGAGATATGAAAGTCCATCGATCTACTGTGCACAAACAGTGTTTTTCATGTGGTGCGGATGTTGCTCCACAAACAGTTAAGGGTAAAAAGTCTAGATTTATAAAATGTGTGAGTTGTAGTGGTGGGAATTGTTCTAACTACACACCTCAAGAAAATGAAATAGAATCTAGTGACAATTTATCACCCGAGCAGACTGCAATAATGAAAGGTTATTATCCAGTGAAAAAAAGAGGTATGGCTACTGTCACCAAATGTTATAAATGTAATGGTTCTGGTATAATTTTTTTAGTTAATGGTAACCATACTAATGTTAATATGAAGAATGATTCAATTAACAATTCAAATACTCCCAACAAACCTTTTCATTGTAACATATGTGGGGGAAGTTTTTCACGTTACTCATCATTATGGAGTCATAAACGTCTGCATACTGGGGATAAACCTTATAAGTGTGAAATATGTGGTTTATCATTCGCAAAAGCAGCTTATTTAAAAAATCACGGTCGAGTGCATACAGGTGAAAAACCATTTAAATGTGGTGTTTGTGGAATGCAATTTTCTCAATCCCCTCATCTTAAAAACCATGAAAGAATACACAGTGGTGAACGACCTTATCAATGTGAAGTATGTGATAAAACATTTGCTCGTCATTCTACATTATGGAATCATCGCCGTATTCATACAGGAGAAAAGCCTTATCGTTGTGATATATGTGGATCAGCATTTAATCAAGCCACACATTTAAAAAATCATGCTAAAGTACATACAGGAGAAAAACCGCATCGTTGTGATATTTGTGGAGTTGGTTTTAGTGATCGATTTGCATTAAAACGACACAGAAATATACACGAGAAGTATGCTAGGCAACAAAGTGATGCAGCTGCGGCACATACTGTAACACCACCATCACAAGAATTGGAACCAATAAGTGGTCAAACCCAAATTGAAGAATGTATATATAGTGCTGACTATACTGTAGAAAAGTATGACGCAGCAAATAATATTCCTACTGATATTGTAGAGGTAAAAGTTGATCAACAGAATCAACGTGAACATGATACACAGCAGCAACAAATTGAGGATTGTATTTATAAATAATGGTGAGTATATAATAATACAATCATAATGACACATTATTTAATATTTAAGTGAGTAGGTTTCTCGTGTAGGTAAACTTTGTTGGCTGAAAAGTAGTTTTCTAGACTAAACTAAATGGAGAATATTCTTTCAGATGAATATGTAAATATTAAATTACAATTGCTCGGTTCTAAAAATTAAAAGATTAAATTTTATACTTATGTTAATTACTTGTTAGAATATATTTTGTAGAATTTAATTTTATTAAACTATTTGAATAACATTTTAAAGTTTAATTTATTGATACCTTATTAATTACGGTAGTACATAGTTCAATATGCTGCATACCAGAAAAATGTTATCAATGTAACATTTGTTTCATACCATTGCTTAGTGCTTATTGCTCCACATATTTACAATAAATTATAAAATAGAAAAAAAAAATCTTAAATTATTTTTTTTTTAACAAGCAATTTAATTGACAACATGATTCGTCAATAATGTTCTCACATTTAGTATAGATAACTGATATCTAGAAGAAAAGCTTCATATTTGTTATTTTGGTTTACTGATCACCCTCATTTTTTTTTAACTGCCGACCTATCATATTTTATATATTATGTACTCTGTACAATGGCTTTTGACACCATAATTATTTTTCTAATGTCGTCATAATGTTTCTAACCATCGAGTGACCCTGTCTGGCTCAATATGCTTACAAAACAATTGAATTTACCCTGTGATTTGCAGTTATTGAGGGATGTTTTAAATTTAAACTGTCTAAAAGCAAACTTTTTTAGAAAGTGGAAAGAGAGTTAAATTAGATTTGTTTTCAGAGTATCACAAGGAAAACTTATAATATTTGTCTAATATATAGTTTTTTGAACTCTGAAAAATTTTGGTAGTCATTTAAAAAAAATATAATTAGCATAATATTATATGTTAATAATAATATGTTAAGACATTTCTTAAATGTTAAATAAAAAAAAGTCGCTCTGCTGTGCAGTAGGTTACAAGTGGGTCACTGTAATGTGTAATGGATGGTGTTAAATTTGAATTCAATGATACAATATCATTGTATAAAAAAAAGGATTCTGAGCGAAAAAAACGGTCAGTCAGCCTAGATATTACTAAGTATATTTGATGATATTATTGTGAATAAAGTAATTTATATATTTACCTATTTACTTGGACCCTTGTTTTAAATTTTTAATCCTTAGCTATAAAACTTGAACATTTTATAAATTTTTAACTACAAAATAATTATTAAATTTTAAATATGATAAATGTTGTCAAATGTTGACCTTTAAATGCATATAAAAAAAATTGTGCCTATGTATTTTTAATATTTTTCAACTGCTATTGTTACAATATATCTGGAGCCTTGCATTAAGTTTTCACGCTTTTTTACCCAACAAATAAAATTTTATTGATATTCATAGAAAAAAAAACTAAGAAAATTGAAAACTGACAATGTCCGTAAACAGCTTAAAAGAGTTAAAATATATTCAATTTTTTTTGGTGTATAGAAAATGAAAATTTAGTAAAATTTTCATGTATCTACAGTTATTCGTTTTTGAATAACAATAAAATAACAAAACCACTACATGAAAAATCGAGCGAATATCCAATCTTGTAAAAATATGAACTTCAAACTTCAAAGGCTCATAAAAATTTAATTTGATTTTTTTTGTAGACATTTTTTTTTTTGATAAAAGTAGATAAACTTCAGTAATCTTGAATTACATTTTCAAATCTTAGATTTAAAAAGAAAATTTCTTATGAATTTCTAACTCGAAATAATTTGCAAATTTTTGTCATTTTTAAGTATTTTGTCAATATTTGAACTTTAAATGCTTTTAAAGGAAAACTGTGACTAAGGATTTTTAATCTTTTTGAACTACTATAACAATATAGTAGGAGCCTTCTATTAAATGTTTAAGATTTTGTATCCAACCAATAATATTGTATTGATATTTATAGAATAAAAAACTAAAAAATAGGAAACTGAAAAAAGCTCAAAATAAGTCAACAAAAATTCATGGTGTATAGAAAATGCTAATATAAACATTCAGTCAAAATTTCATGTACCTACTTTCATTTGTTTAAGGGTTGCACCAAAAACCAAAATCGATTTTCTCGAAAACAGATTTTGCGTAAAAATTCCTGTTCTTCCTTAATTTTTCTTTGGTTTTTCACTTCGCTTTTGAAAACTACTGGGAAATTTTTACTTTTAACCCCCCAAAGTACCAACCAGATTCACTTTCCTATCATGAAAGACACTGTTGAAGAAAATCCAAGCACTTACTTTTACTGTCCTGAAAGATGATGACAGACACAAAAATAAAAAAATAAATAATAAAAAAGCACACATCATTGTAAAATCAATACATTCAATGTTCCTCTAAAAATCTAAAATTAAGGATACCTCATCGAGATAACAACTATCCTATATTTTAAGTTGGATCAAATTACACACATTGTACATAATCTTATCAAAATCGATTGAGTAGTTTTGGAGTGCATTGCACGTAAACTCGTATGTGTAATTTTTATATAATATATAGAATAATGTATAATAAATCTTATAAACAAGATAATTAACATCTTATTTCTTTACTTGAAATTATTTTAATCTTTTTAAAAATATTTTATGTTTTATTTTTTCATTAGAAATACACAATCTGTACTTTTTAACAAAATAAGTAGATGTGATAACAAACTAAAATGCAAATTTTGAATGAGAAGCCATCCATTAGTGAAACCTGACTAATACTTATGACTAGAATATACTAAATATACTACTATATAGTTGATTTTAATTGTATTTTAATAATATTATATATCTTAATATTTGTTTAGATTTAAGACAAATCAACGAGGGAAGAATCTAATAAAAATATGAGTATCCGTAGTAAGATTGAATGGGTTCAAGTATTTACAGCATACAATAATCAAGCATACATTTACAACAAAAAATTAGAACCTACAAAATATGATTTAAATATGGTGCTATTCATAGTTTTATTAGTTTAAATATTAACTTTTAAGATTTAATGATAATTTAATGAAACAAGCTAATATAAATAATTATAAACTTTGTTTAAGATGAAAACTACATTTTTATAATGATTATGTGTACTCTTTTAAATAATTACATACCAGCTTATAGGTATTATATTTTTATTTGATTATCCAAAAGTGATTGTCATAGAAATGTTTTTATTTTAGCAATCCTTATATTTGTAAATACTATAGAGTAAAAGTATAAAGAACTAATTATTATATATTAATAATTTAACTGTACAAAATAATTATACATTAGCTTATTTAGTTATTTAAATTGGATTTGTATTCAAATCTTCATAGCCCATATTATTATGTACATTTGTGTATTGCTCTCCAATAATTGATTCCAATCAATTTTGAATTTAGATTGTGATTAATTTGAAAAATTGAATTTAAATTTGTATTTGAATACTAGTTATGAATTAATATTTATTATTTTGCTATTATACCCATATTATAGATCACAAATCCAATTTAAAAATTTAAAATATAATTATTTGTTATATTTTATTTATTAATAACAATTGGGATATATTATTTCTATTTGTATAAAAACTAATTTTATTTTCATTTGAAATCAATGTATTATTTATTTTATCAAATCAGGTATAAATCTAACATGTTACATTTTCTTGAGATAATAGTTATATTATGCAATACTAATCATGAACTAATATATCTAATAATTAAATATACTGTATAAAATATATTTTCAATTGTTCATATTGTTAGTAATTTTTTTAAATTATTATTATTATTATACATTTATCAAAGTATTTACCAGTATGATATTATATTGTTATTTTGTATACATATGTATATAATATGTAAACATTTATACATTTTTATTGTAATGTAATTTCGATGGTTTATATTATATTATGCTATTAAGTTAAGTTTAGGATTAGAAAGACTTTTTTGCGCAAATTATTTTTATAAATACATTATAATTAAACTTACACACAGACAATGGTGATTATTTTGACATAATTTGTCTAACCCTCTACCATTTCATGAAGAAGTTATATTGAATTGTGACATTATGTTGAATATTTATGTCTCACAAAATTACTGATATTCCATAATTATTTCATTCCCAAAAATTCAAATAGTGTTCAACATTGTTTTTTTTAAATGTTGGTCAATAATCAAATAATTTATGTACAAAATTTACAAATTTACAAGACATAACAAAATATCAATGTATAATAATATTATTTTTATCAGAGTCCAGGAAGTACTATATAGTATAAATGAATAATATAATGACAAGTGATACAATTATTTTATACATTAAAGGAGCACCAAATACAAAAAATAAGTTAATTTAATTTGAAAGAATGTTGAATTCTAAGAATTATGGTATAGGTTTTACTTTTGTACTCACATTATTCAATTAGTTACGACTGTTATGAGTAATTGAAAAAAGACGTGTGACATCATTGGGCCGATCTCATGGTAATTGCCTATCTCATACATGTAAATGTTACCCGTTTCCAACAATAATTTTATTTACCTATGTTTAAAGTATATTTTCTAATTTTTGTTGTACGTATATGGTGGTTTTTATTTACTAAAAACGTTAGTGAAACAAGAATTTTATTAAATTGTTTAGTTTTTTTGAAATATTTAAAATATCCATTAAAACAAATCGACGCATTGTCTCATTGTAACTACGATGTAGTTACGTAAAAAAATATCTATTTAATATTTCTAATATTAAAAAAACTAAACATTATATTAAAATTCTGATACTTATATCGTCTTGAGCACAAAAAATCACGTATATCTACTATATATAATATTACTCATATAATATAAAAAAAAATGTTGGTAAACCATTGTGTGAAAAGATCAACTTAACCACATGTAAGATAGGCGATTATTTCGAGCTTGGTCCTGTGACATCACTAGGTTGTTCTAGATATCTCCTTAAATATTTTTTTTTAGATTGGATTTTGACAAAATCGTTTTTAGTAGTTCCACCTACAATGATTTAGCATTTTATAATGAATTGAAGAAAAAGTTTTTGTTTTGTGTTTTAATGTTTAAAAGGATAGTTTGCTGATATCTCCTAATTTCTTATGTTTGGTATAAAGGTGGATGCCACACCTGTATGTGCTGCTTCGTCTTACAAATATTTAATATACCAAATTTGCATTCAGTAAAACCCATTTTGTGTTTGTTTTGATGTTACTATAAATTTAACTGTTATCAAATGTAAAAGAAATAATATTGAAATGTTGGTTTTTTTGGTAGTTTAAATTTAAAGTGAGTTATAAGTTATTATTATTCAAAAATGTCCATTACTTCAAAATTAAAATATAACAAAGCTGATGATTGAGCACTGGACATTACTTTAGATTCTGAGTGGAACGATGAATGTATTGATATTACAATGATGTGTGTTTTTTTTTTAAATTTTTTAATTTTTGTGTCTGTCATCACCTTTTAGGACAGTAAAAGTGCTTGGATTCTCTTCAACAGTATTTTTTCTGATAGGAAAGTGAATCTAGTTGGTGCTTTGGGGGGTCAAAAGTAAAAATTTAACAGTGGTTTTCAAAAGCGCCTTGAAAAACAAAAAAAAAATTAAGGAAAAACGGGAGTTTTTACTCAAAATCTGTTTTCGAGAAAATCGATTTTGGTTTTTGGTGTAACTTTAAAAGAAATGAGTAATGATCTTAGATAAGTGAAATTTTCACTGGTTGTTTATATTTGCATTTTCTATACACTATAACATTTTCAAAATATTTTGATTTATTTTGAACTGTTCAGGGACATTTTCAGTTTCCAATTTTATTAGTTTTTTTTTTTTATGAATATCAATAAAAATTTATTAGTTGGTTTAAAAAGTGTAAAAATTTAATACAAGGCTCCTGGTTTATTGTTACAATAGCAATTGAAAAATATTAAAAATACATAGTCACAATTTTTTTTTTTTATAAGTATTTAAAGATCGAATTTCGACAAAATTTATCAAATTTAAAATTGAATAATTATTTTGTAGTTAAAAATTTAGAAAATGTTCAACTTTTATGTCTAAGGATTGAAAATTTAAAACAAGATGATTCCATGTAAGTAGTTAATTCTGTTACCAAAAAATTTAAATAATACACAAGCACAGGTTATTTTTATAGTTATTTTAAGTCAAATTTTTACAATATTATATATTAAAATTGATAATAATGATTTTGGTTTTTTGTTGTAATTTAAAAATATTGTTTGGGGATATGTGAATCTGGAAAATCAAAATATTATGGCCTATCCATACAATCTACCATAGTATAAGGAATAAGAAGTATGCTCAATGATAAGACTGTGCATATTTTTTTTTATTATCATTGATACATTTATAATGTGTCTTAAACCTAGACTGACATACAGTCTCCTCTCAGAATCGTTTTTCTTATACAATGATATTATATCATTGAATTCAAATTTAATATCTTCCATTATACAGTGACCCACTTGTAATCTACTGTACAGCAGAGCACCTTTTTTTACTTTTAAATTTGGTAATAGGGCAACTTGAAAGAATATAACAACTAGCAGCATAAAATGGATTCTGATAAATGTAAATTTGTCATGTTATATGTAAGTAAGATAGAGACAACTGGTGGTTGTGGCGTCCTCTTAAAGAATAAGAAGCTACTTAACCACTGAATGTATGAGATGCATCAACAAATATTTCATTTTAAACTTATTCTGTATTCAATACGTATACAGTATACTAAACTACTAAAGCTCAAGACATCAAAGGATTATTTTAGAACATATTATTAGTTTTAAAACTATATATCTGTGATCAGATATAATCACCCACTTAATAAAAGAATAGATTTTTTTTAAGATAATATATTTTGTGACTACTACATTGCAATAATACAAATATAAAAAAAAATTTTACACTTCATATTAGTATTTACCATTAATTAGTAATATGAGCCATGGTTTATTTTTGCAGTTATAGTATTAATGGTATTGTGTGATTAATGATTATTTTGATAATTTTGTAATATTATGAATTTATGAATAATAATTGAAAAAAAATTCTTATCAGTTTTTTGATTAGAAAAAATATTATATAATATGATTAGTTTTTATTAAACCACAATTTGTATTTTAGTAAAACAATAAAATAAAAAAAAATATATTTTAAATTATAATAAAACAAAACATTTATTTTACATTGAGAATTCTTATGATATAGATATAAAATTTAAGCTATAATGCCGTCGATTATTTCAGACATATCCAAGTCAACAGTATCACATTCAAAGTCAGACAATGTCAAACTATCATCTTTAACTTTTTCCTTCATTAAAAATTGATCCAAGGGACCTTTAACATTTTCTTTTGCTTCATTTATTTTTCTAGGCTGTTTGTGTTTTTTTTTCGAAATGTTCATTGAAGAAAATGTATTTGTTATATCAAATATATTACTATCTTGGTTTGCAACTGTTAACAAGTAATGCAAAAAAAATGTTTTATGTATATAATAATTTTAACATATAACTGCATCTTATTTTTCAATGCTAATTAGTAGATAATCAAACTGTTTGTTTGATACAATGAAAAAAAAAAAAATTTAACCCTTTCCCTGCTACTCAATTTGTCCACACAGACTGTGCATACTACGTAAAATAAAATATTTATTATTTTTTTTTAATTTAAATTTTGAGATCTATCTGATCTAGTTATTTAATTTTAAATAATTTGAGCCTAGGTTTCCTTAACTTGTACAGTTACCGGAAAATGCCAAATTATAAAATGCAGGGATGTAATAGAGCAGTAAAAGGGTTAATAAAAACTATAATTACAGATTTAAATTTGAGGTAAGATCAATTATATTCTTATAAAAAAGAGCTTAAAATAATATTAACTACTTATCAGTCATTGTGACTACCTATCTCATTATCCGGTAAACTTTTTAGTTTTTCTATTATTGCTACTTCCACAGGTTAATATTGCATTATATTATTTTAAGATAACTTTGTAATCTATTAAGGTGCAGTGCCTGGATGCGGTATCTAGCATTACTACCGGCCTGGACATAGGTCAGTAGACGCTGTGTTACAACACTGTACTGTTCTACTATTTGATATTGCAGGGAAACCATACCTTAAGACAAAATATTATAAGTGTGTCCGCCAAAAGAAACTAGAGTTATATAAAAGTAATGTAAGACTACCAACAAAAAATTCCCTATACACACATTTTAATTTTTGGATTTACCATGAAAAGAAAAATTACTTAATATTTCCATACAGTATTGACCATAATACTTTATCGAAGATACAATTATATAATAGGTGGGTCTCAAATCAAAATTATACTTATGAAACAGTTTTAAGGAAATTTTATGTATAATCTGGTAAAAAAAGTAAATAGGGTATTGGCTGGTTGGCATAATAATATGCTTTATTTTACTAATTGCTAAGTTTGTTAGTAGTCGGACATATTTTATTTTATTTTACTATAGTATATTGCCTTGCAGATTAAAAAACTGTCTTAAAATAACATAATGCAGTGTTAATCTGTGGTAGTTGCAACTGATAACAAAATTGAGTTTACCGGAAGACACGATAACCAATAAGTACCAAATATAAATATAAATTACTTTTTTTCTTTGTTTTTCTAGAAGACGTAGTATGCATATCTTCATAGATTGAAACTTCATTTGGATATCTTCTTTGAACAACTGTTTGAGGTTCAACAGATGTTATTTCATAATTATTCCATTTTATTTCATAACATTTTATTCCTTTATTGACACGCTTTTTAACAATTTTATTCATTAATATATTTGCTTGAAACATATCGTCATACATTAAATGCCACCTAGTAAGTAATGGCAAAAATTTATCTATTGCATACTCTCTTTCCCAACACAGTTTTGATGATGCAAATTTCTATAATATAATATTAAATATACATATTAAATTTAATATGAACCTATGCAATTTATACTTATTTATTTTTTCATAATTTATACCTACAATAAAAGAACTAATATCTGGTAGAATCCATTTTGCAGACACTTCTGAATAATTTGGTACTTTTAAGAATTCTTCAATAACTGCTTCAGATGGAAAGCTTTTGTTTTCTATAGCTTTATTCCTTATTTTCAACTCTAGCTTTATTTCATTAGTCTGTGATTTAATATCCATGGCAGCAGAATTTAAAACTGGATCATTTCTCCAATGTCTCAAGCTTGAAATTAATTTTGAAAAATCAGTAATATTTAAGAGAAAATAAGGAATATAATTTATGATTACCGATCAAGGACAGCATCATCATCTAGTGATTGGAGAAACTTAATTGCAGTATCTTTTCCAATACCCAAAACACCCTTTTCATCATAATCACAACCACATAGTAACGATAAAGCTATCATTTTATTGCGTCCAATTTTTAGATTTTTTTCAATTGACCCCATGCAATAAACATCAACAGACCCATTTCCAGATGCATTAAAATTTCTATATACAACACGAGCACCGTACAAAAAACAATCACTATCTTGAGTGACAATGCCATCTACTATCTGAAATTGAATAATTATTTATAAATTAATTTATTTTTATAATCTTCTGACTGAAAAACATAGATTATAAAAAGTACAATAAATAACTGAAAAAAATTAAAAATGAGAATACAAATAATTTTAAGTAGTGGAAACCAGTTGCATACACCACAATTTCACAATTGGGCGATGGGATATAAAAAAATACATGTTATATATAAATAATTTTTTAATATTTTATTATTTAACAGATGACGAGTAGAATTAAATTAGTTTCAACTTCTTCATTATTATAAAATAAACAATTAAAACCATAGCTACATAGGTGATACCTACTATCCTCTATTCAGAATAAGCTTGCCCACTTTCGCACTTTTGACTGAGCTGCCGGAAGCGTCCAACCCCTTGACGAAAATCAGATGCACTGTGATTAGTACCGCTGCCGTTACCTGTTACTGACTTTGCCAGGAGGGGTCAGACCCTTCCAGTGGCTCAGTTGAAAGTGCGAAAGTGTTCAAGCTTATTCTGAGAGTATAGTTATAGGCGCAACTAGGGTTACACTGGGGGGGAGGGCTAACAAAACTATTTATTTTAAATTTCTCATATCTATATCAATAAGGAGGGGGGCCAAATCTCAGTTAGGGGGGTAAGGCCCCCCCTAGTTGCGCCAATGAATATAGTAAGTTTTATTTGATTGTTATAAAAACTTAGCACCAAATTATTAAGGTAATTGGTTTTTGACAAATTAAATTTTTTAGGAACCTAAAAAAATATTATAGTGCCCTCTAATAACCTGATTTTAGTTGGTTTATAAATGACTATAGGTATAAAGAAATTAAAACAATTTAAAAAATAAAAATTATTTTGTACAACAATGTTTTTACAATGCATTACTGTATTATTATGGACTCTGCATCAAGTATGACTATGGTTGTAGACTTGTGATTTTCATTCACATTTTGATCATATTTTTTGAAAGTAAAAATAATAGTAAAATGTATTATATGTTAATTTATCATTCTGAACAATATGAATAACTGTCTAAATCCAATAATAAGATAATCGTAATACTTATGTATACAGAATACAGATCTGATCTATAAAATACATACATCAATGGTGGACCAGTTTATGCTTTTACTGTTAATATTATAAATATATTACAAATTTCCTATCTGCAAAAATATGTATTTTAAGGTCCCGTTTATCCGGCATAACTTCTATGTAAATCTGGCCAGTCTGACAAAAAACAGCTTGTATTTTGTCGCATTAGACACATTGTATCGGGACAAAACAGCAAGATTAGAATAGAAAAACGTAGGACACCAGCACACAGCGTAACCTACATGGCGCATAACTGCCACTATGATAATTGATAGTGCATACTAATGTTTAACAATTGTGACAGTAACGCAGGAGAAAATTGTGTGAGAATATGTAAAAGTTTGTTTTTGTCTTTAATTCCATTTTGACACAACACAATTAATACCATCTAGATTTTCATATTTTAAATAGTGAAATAATCAATTAAGGGATTGAACACTCAAACCTCTCCTAACCTCACCTAACCAACCGTGTATACACAATTGGTAGAATACTTATACGGATATATTATTATAATATTATTAATTATTATACTGTGTGTCATATACTAAATAAAGAATAAGAATAAATCATTAATTGTATTATATGAGTACAGAGTAATACAAACAAATTTACAAATAACATTATATGTTAAAGATCTATAAACTAGTAATTTATTAACTATATAATACCAACCCCGTTTTCATTGAGTATAGCACATAGCTGTTCTGCTTCTCCATGACTATAAACGCAAGTTACCCCCATGATATTCAACAACAATTCACACTGTAAAAATTTAATATATTAAATAAGATGTTAAAATTTCTATTACTTAAAAAATGTTTGAACTATAAACCCGTGTGGGTTCTATTATTCTACAAATCCTAAATATATTTAATCGTCTATTTAAATATTATTCTATTAAATTTACCATTATAAATTTAGAATACTAGTTCTTATAATCTCTGAATCAGTTCACAATATTTTTCTTTATATTATTCAATCATTAAATCTATACTTACTTGTTTTTGTAATGAATTTAGTCGTTTGCGAATAATATTAGTCTTTATTGGTGCTTTACTCCCATTAATACGTTTTTCTATAGTACCATATTTTAAAAGCGGTGGTTCTCCATCCAAAACAAATATTGGTATGGCACCAATTAACAATAAGTTACAGGTGCGAAAAAATAAGTTCCTGAAAAAAAATAAAAAACTATGCTTATAATAAATAAATAGAAATATATAAATAAAAGTGGCTTGGGAGAATAGGCTAAGAGCTCTAAAGAACTCTTTGCCTCAAAGAGAGGAGACTTTTAATTGGTTAGAACCAAACCTAAAATAAAGATATTTGAAAACATTTTTCAATGTAAGCAGTGATAATAAATTATTTCTAACTACCTATTTAACACTATATAGTTCAAATGGTTGAGGGGAGAACTAGGTTTTTGATTATTGGGTAAAAACTGTAGGTATAATGCACAAATTTGGAATTTTTTGATATGGTACATAGTAAGTCAATACCACTAAATTACAATGGAACCATAGTTCCAACATGGTTAACTTGTTAATAGGTCTATGAATGAAACAGGAGTATTGTAGTAATTTAGTGAGCTGAAACCAACATTGGAAGAAATAAAGTAATCAGGAAAGATTAATTAGGTAGGTAGGTAGGGTATTTGGTGCTTATAAAGTTATAAAATATAATGACTCATGTTATAGATGAGTTGACTTTACATACTCGTAAAATGTACATACATATAGGTAATATTATTTAGAGTTTACCTCAAGTACATGTTTTTTTGGCTTATGTTGTGATTTAAATTTTCACTGTCACACACCCATCCACTTAAATCTATGCCAATTGCCTTGCCATGCAACTCCCAAAGAGGCATTTTTTCTGCCACTGGTGTTAACAGCGACCAAAGACTTTTTACACCCATTTTAAAAGTAGAGGCACAAGATTATCAAAGAACAGATCGAAAAATGCACATGAAAGCTTATTACATTTTATGCACCAACACTATAAATATACATTTTTAAAAGCATTAAATTAAATGTAACTATTAGTATGGTTCTAAAGTCACCACTCGAAGTCTTGAAATAGTCGAAACTCGAAATAAGTTATAAATTACAATTATTAAGTACAAACTACAAAATATAGTATAGTAGGTACCTATAGTAAGTAACCTAACCAGAATTATTAATTATAATTTATATTTTATATTTTATATTTTAAATGAATAATAATAATTCTTAACTACTATCAGTAGCAGCAAAACAGGTTTATCAACAATTTAAAATATAACGATTCGTAATTGTGTTTACCGCGGACACAGACTTCTATACTACACTAGATAAGGAACTCTTATACAATTTACATTGTTACAAGTGAAGCTCAGCTGTGAACGGCCGCCATTTTGTCGGTTGGCAAAACATTTCATTTATTATACAAAATGTATTAGGAATAATATTTTTTTTAACGGTCAAATAAAATAGTAAATGTAAAATGACTTATATAAAATATTTTTTTTTTTTTGTAAACTAAATGTTTAAAAATAATAAAATACGATATAAAATAAATCATAATATCATCTTATTTGTCATATGAAATACCATACAATTGCCAACCGACCTTGAAGCTTCAATTCATGACCGGAGTTCGCTATCTATAGTATATCTATCTATAGTAATATATATAGAAATCTGTGACCGCGGACGGTGACATATCAGTTGTGCAGAATATAATAATACAATAAAGATCATGAACTACCAGTGGTGAGGGAAAACGTTTTCATGTTTTTCGGAGGTTCAGACTTCAGATCATAGGGATCATATGGTTGTACGGGTATCTATGTTAGCGACTGTGATGTTATCTAGTGACGTACTAGATTTACTACATTTCGATTTTTACTTTTATAAGCATAATATTTATATATAGACTTATGAAATATGAAAAAAAAATAAATAAATCGATTAACATAAATATTTCTATATTGCTATGAGTTTGTTGTATCTTATTAATGTTGTTATACATCAGTATTCAGTACATCATACATTCATACATTATTATTACATTATTTAATATGGGTCGCTTGAGCTGGGTCGTATTGATATGGGACAGTAAATAAAAGTAATTATAATGAAAATCCCTTAAATTATAAAACACGGTTAGTCTCCGATTCTTTCCGCCGGGCTAGCGCGATCGAATAAGGAAAAGCCAATGAAAAAATTCTGTCTCCGCGGTCGCGTTATCACCTATATTCTTATAATTTCGCCGATTTTGGAAATTTTTGAAAATTTAGCTTTTTTTACACGATTTTGATCATTTTCGAGCCTCTTCGCCCTTTTTTATACTCGAATCGCCTAGCTCGCGATCTCTCGAAGCCGCCGGTGTGCGGTTTATAATAGCGCGCCGTCCGTAGCGGTCGCAATGTCGATCGCAAAATACGCTCCCGGCCGGACTATTTTGCGAACTTTTTCGTTTTCTCCGACCATATCGTCTTTTCGTCTGTGCCCTAATCGAGTATTTAACGTCTTTTTAAAGCCGTCTATATGCGCTTTTCCTTCAAAATCGGTCCGTTCGCCTCGCAATCGCGTTTCGAAATGACGCCGGCGACCGACCGACCGTACGCGTATATATACATGTATAAATGTATTGATAAAAATACGTGTATAATTTAATTTTTGCCTATGATTTAATAATTATTAACGGAAAACGCTTTTCACACGCCCCGTTAAATATATTTATATGGGAGATGCGCGTATTACAAGATGCACATCGAATATATTGGTTTACGTCGCTCCGTAGACGCACAGCAAGTGTTGATGTTTTGACCGTATTCCATATCACAAACGTTGTCTGAGTAAATAGCGCGATGGGTAGGAATATACGAAGCCCCCGTCCCCGTACGCTCTCCGGGCGGCGATACCCTCATATTGCCGTATGGTTTACATTTATTTTGAAATAGGACTTTTGAGAGCGCATAAAATAACGTTTCAAACCACTGTGCGTCGGATCAATAGCACGATGGTCTGACGTAAAACCTATCGCCGTCGCGGCCCTAATGTAATATTTGGTTGTAAATTGTAATATAATAATAATATGATTACTTAGTGACATACATAAAGTGTTTGTGCTGTGCTTTTTACCACCTTAACCCAAACCGGGTACACTACGACCGGACCACGATCAACCAGCATTCAACTACCTATAATATCCACGTTAAAGCCTTGTATTAATTTTCAAGCTTTTTTGACCAATGAATAACATTTTATTGACATTTATAGAAAAAAAAACTAAACAAATTAAAACTGAAAATGTCAATACACAGTTCAAAACAAGTCAAAATATTTTGAAAATTGCATCAAGTATAGAAAATGATAAAACATATAGTGTACATATTTTAAAGTATCTACGTTTTTGAATAACAACAAAATAATAAGAAAACTATTCCAAGAGAAATCGAGCGAATATCTAATGTTGTAAAAATCGGTTTCGCAAAAAATTATAATTTTTTATTTGTTTTACTCAACGCTTTCTAAAATAATGCTTATATAAATATTTGGTGAACATTTCAAGAGTCTATACGCCCCTAATTTGTTTATGAATTAAAACAAAATATCAAAAATTGATAAATGAAAATTCATTAATTTACCAGTAAAAAACCAATATTGTAATTATTTTACATTCAAACGCTCATAAAAAATCCGTTCCAGTAAACCTTTTTTTAATTTCTTACAACAACTTACGAGTAACCTTGTATGACATTTTCAAATTGTTTGACCAAGCGACGTTTTTTTTATCGGCATTAACTTTTAAAAAAATTAATAATACTTGAAAATTGCAAATTTTGCCTGTAAATGGACATAACTCATAGCTCAACATGAAGCAAAATATTTTGAAAATTTTATGGTGTATAGAAAATGCTAATACAAGCATTCAGTGAAAATGCCATGTATCTGCGGTTATTGTTTTTAGAGTTATCTTAGATTTCACGGACCTCCCGAAGCACCAACTATATAGATTCACTTTCCCACCGGAAGTTGAAAATCGAAGTATTATTTTGACTGCTTATCGTCCAATATTGTCAGTAGAGGCACAAGTAATTAAAATTACAAAAAAAAAGAAACACACCTTTGTAAAATCAATATACATTCAACACGACTCCGCTCCGAATCTAAAATAGTAAAGGCCGGATTACTATTTAAAATAGAAGATAATATATTAAATGTATTTAAGGAGGCTGGAGCAGGTACAAATTATCACGTAAAATAGGCCAAAAGCTAGACAAAACTGTGGGACTTGGGTTTGACGGATTCTAATTTTGAAAACTAATTGAAAATCTTCAACAACTCTTATAAAGTATGGCAGTGGAAATTTATCATTATTGCAAAAAAATAATGACGTACTTAAATATATAAAATACAAAAATTCTTATTTTTTAATTTGTCAATATTTTATCGAAGAATTTTTATAAACAAAATCCCCTCGACCATTCCTTAACTAACATAATAACTAATTAATATCCATTTTCAAAATTAAAATCCGTCTAATTCAACTCCCACAATTTTGTCTAGCTTTTTGGCATTTTTGTTATGTGAATAGCATTGCGTATAATTGACAATATCGAAATTATTGACATGTGTCTGCGTGTGCGGAAATGCATCGACGCGGTGGTACTAATTGAAAATAAATTGTCAACATTCGGTTCCTGGAATATATAAGATAAGAAAACGCGAGTCGGCGGTGGGAACAATATTATAATCATAATTATTAATTAACGTTCGGTCTACCTAGTTTGGTCCGCTGTCGGTACGTTATAATTCTACAGTGAATAAAAGTAATATTTTAATTTTGATTTTCAAATTTCCATTAGTCTGGCATCTGCTGTTGTTTGAAATAAATGTGCAGTTTCTAGAGAACGATTTTTTTGAGTAATACATATTTGTCATCTTTGATACTATGGAAAGAAAGAACGACTGGCATTATGGAAAAAAAACTATAACTCTATTATCCAAACGAAGGAAATGCTGATGACCTAAATAGATTAAAAAAAAGTAAGTATAAATATTACAAATCTATTGTATTAATTGACTATAGCATAATAATATAAACATACTGAAAATCCTGGCAATCCATTTTTAGATTCTTAGCGTATGTATTGGTTTTACAATGATGTGTGTTTTTTTTTTTTATTTTGTTTTGTGGGAAAAACAAACAAAAAATTGAGGAAAACCGGGAATTTTTACGCAAAATCGGTTTTCAAAAAAATTGAATTTGGTTTTTAGTGTAATTCTAAAATATATGACCCTAGATACATGAAATTTTCAATACACGATAAAATTCTCAAAATATTTTGACTTATTTTGAGCTGTTTACGGACATTTTCAATTTTCAATTTTAGATTCTGAGCCCTCCACTGAATTTATTGATTTTACAATGGTATATGTTTTTGTGAATTATCACCAAAAACCGATATTAGTTTTTGGTGTATCTCATCTAAAACAAATGACCGTGACATGAATTTTTGACTGAATGTTTATATTAGCAATTTCTAAACACCATAACATTTTAAAAATATTTTGATGTTTTGAACTATAATTTACAGTTTCCAATTATTTTTAGTTTTTTTCCATGAATGTCAATAAAATTATATTTGTTGGGTAAAAAAGCTGAAAAATTTAATACAAGGCTCTTAATATATTGTGACGTTTAAATTTGAAAAATATTAAAAATCTATAGTTACAGTTTTTATTTATAAGCATTTAAAGTTCAAATCTTTACAAAATACAGAAAAATCACGAAAATTATCGAATTATTTTGAGTTGAGAATTCATAAAATGTTCAACTTTTGATAACATTTATCAAATTAAAAATGTAATAATTATTTTGTAGTTAAAAATTTATAAAATCTTCAACTTTTATATCTAAGGATTGAAA